GCTGCAATCCCTTCTCCTCCATTCTCCTCTCGGGATCTTGGGCACGCACGCGCACGTGCCAAGCGTGAGTTTAAGCCACCGGGTCCAGGACTTGAACCGCGTCAACTACATGAGAGTCCAGCAACCTAGGCATTACACCATCTGCTGGTCCCAATTAAGTCTTTAAAAAAACACATTTAGGGACCAGCAGGTGGTGTGGTGGTTAAGGTGCTGGACGCTCCCACATGGCCGACCATGGTTTGAGTCCTGAACCTGGTGGCTTGCTTTCTCACTTTCTCTCTCTCTCTCTCTCTCTGCATGTGTGTCTCAGGTCAAATTAAAACAAGTGAATAAAATTACATAATTTAAAAAAAAAAAACACGTTTATTTACGTATTTATCTGTTGTGATTTCCGAGCCGCTGTGTCTGGGACTCACACCATAGTCTGATGCAGGGAAAGCATATCCCGCTGTTCTAGACAGGCGCAGGGGGCCAGGACAGCTCACAGCAGAAGGGAGGGCAGCCAGGCCAGCAGGCTGGACTTTCTCCATGAAATAGGAAGTGTGACAATGGACAGAGGAGGGACAGCGTGAGGAGAGGCACTGTGGACAGCAGAGCGGGGGTAGGGTGCTCCAGGAAGATGGCGGGACTGCATGGCCATCCGAGGCCAGGAGGACAGTGAGGCGCCACAGTGCAGGTGTCAGGGTCACTTGGTGGCCAGGCGAGCCACACCTCCGTGTCACTCTTTCTCCTGGACCCCCACGGTGCTCACTCACATCCAGCCCACACCCTCCATCCTCTGCCCTGCACCCACCCCACCAGGCTGCCCTGGTCCCTCACCCACCCTCCCTTCCCTCTGTCCCACTCACCAGGTAAAATGACCACCTCACACCTCCAGGGACAGGCCTGCAGGCTCTGGCTGCTGGAAGTCACTCACCATCCCCTGAGAAGTATTCCAGGGACCCCCAGGTGGTGACTGCCCTTGTGCTATTTGGCTCCACAGTCCTGGAAGCTCTGCACCAGCCCCCCAACTCTGGGAGGGAAGGGGCCTTAGGGTCCTGCCACCCCTTCCCACCATGCCTGCAACTGCCCCTGCAGGGCCTCTCTCCCAACCCCACGCAGTGCTGGATCCTTGATGGGAAGGGGCAACTGTGAATATTTTTTCTTTATATGTTGTTCATGTTTAATTTTTTTAAAGATTTTTGCTTTAGGGCACATGCGCTTGCCAGAGAGAGACAGACAGACAGACAGAAAGTGAGAAATAACCCCCCGGGGGGGTAGCCACACCACAATCCCTTCTCCTCCATTCTCCCAGGATCTTGGACACGCACACACACACACCTGGCGTGACTCAATCCACTATGTCCAGGACTCAAGCTACGGTAACTCGTGTGGGAGTCCAGCGATGTAATCTCTACACCATCTGCTGACCCCTGAATTTTTTTAAAGAGAGATTTTTGCTACAGGGTGTGTGCGCTCACTGGAGAGAGAGAAAGTGAGAACCACCCCCAGGAGAGGGCCGTGCCACAAGCTCCTCTCCTCCATTTTCTTCTCAGGGCTTTGGGCACGCACGCACGCCCATCCGGTGTGATTTCAAGCTATTGGATCCAGAACTCGAAATGCATTCGGCCATGTGGGAGTCCAGGGCCTTAACCACTATGCCACCTGCTGGCCCTTACTGTTAAATTTCTTTCTTTCTTCTTTCTTTCT